TCAGGACTGATTTCCTTTAGGATGGACTGGTTGGATATCCTTGCAGTCCAAGGGACTCTCAGGAGTCTTCTCCAAAATCACAGTTCAAAAGCATCAATTTTTCAGTGCTCAGCTTTCTTTATAGTCCAACTCTCATCCATACATGACCACTAGAAAAACCATAGCCTTGACTAGATGGACCTTTGTTGACAAAGTAATGTCTCTGCTTTTTAATATGCTGTCTAGGTTGGTCATAACTTTCCTTCCAAGGAGTAAGCATCTTTTAATTTCATGGCTGCAGTCACCATCTGCAATGATTTTGGAGCCCCAATGTAATACCTATCATAATGCCAGCTAACATCTTTGTAAGAAATTGGCAGATGGCAAGCTGATTGATAGTTTTATATGAGTGGGGAAATGCCACTGGGGAATTAAAGGCTCAAAGCTAGCAAATGCCAACTATTAAAATGGAGCCAGACTGTTACAGGTGGTGGAGTCACCTTTAGTGTCTGTGTTTCTAACCAAGGGTCACAATTTGGACTGATCTGACAGACTTAAGCTAAGACCCTGACCCCATAAGGACATAAGACCCTATTATTTCAGGGTCGCCCGATATAGGCCATCCTCGTGTGCTGTACTTACTTGATTCATTTGGGAATTCAATCAGTGTTTCCCTGTGCCTCGGAGTTCACAAAAAACTAGACGAAAACGTGTACGCAGGCAGCTCCCAACCAGGAAGAAGTTCCGCTTTAATGCAAATATCCATTGCCGGGTCAGGACGCCGCCCGCCAACGGAGGCCGGTTCCGCACACACGCTACCTCCTGCCCTGCTGTCACTCAAGCGTGGGGCGTTGTCTCTCAAACAGTCCAATCAAGAACCCCGCTGGGTAAGGTGGGTGGGGAGACGTACCGCACCGGCGCAGAAGACCCACCTCACCGCGGATCTTGAGTCGCTGATGGCATCTGCTTTGTCGCAGTGTCTCTCGCGCTGTGCTCGCAGTGGTCGTGGGAGTCATAGGAGGGAACTCGAGGAAACCTAGCAATGGTGAGTGGGCTGTCCCGAGATGTGGAGTCGGGGTGGAGGGTCTGGTCGGAACCGGTCGTGGCGGGACTTGGGTCTGCGGAAGCCATGCGTGCTCGGACTTCTGTCCCCTATATCAATCAGCGTGGGGCGGGGCCGGCAACTGGGCGCACGGGGACTTGGCCCTTGAGCCCGGAGTCCCTCTGAGCAGCTCAGCGCCCGCAGCCCCGCGTCTTCCTCAGATTGTGAGGTTACCACAAGGGAGGGTCGTCAGGGAAGAGTCATGACTGCTTCTGCTGGGTTTGTGCGCGGGAGGAACAGTGCTCTGTGGAGTTCATCGTCTCTCGCTTCCCCTCTGAGGGCGAGGAACTCGTTTTCTTCAGTTTTACAAGCGGTTTTGTTTTTAGAGCGGGGTCTCAAATCCACAGCTCTGCACCACCCCCAACCTCCGTCCCCAGCCTGGCTCTGGCAATAAACCTGAATTTCCAGGTCCTTCCTTTCATTCCCAGAGCCAGCTTCACCTTTCAGATTCACAGCACCATTATAACTCTGCAGTGCATTTCAAAGGGACCCAATATTTTAATAGTTTATCCTTTTCCCACAGAGCCATGGATGGCTCTTAAAGACTTGTTTTTTGTTTGTTTTGTTGGTTGGCTTTTTTTGATCTGTGGATATTTTATATGAGTAGAAAGCCGAGGAACCACATGGAATCATATATATTGTATGAAAACCTTTGCGTCTCCCCGCGAAAGGACACATGCATCCTGTGGAAAGTCTTTAGGATGGAGTTTATTCTTTGCAAACTTTCACAACGTTCTTGTCAGCACTGTCTCTCCCTGGGTTTGTCACCTTGAACAAATTTATTGACTTAAGTCTCCGTTTTCCAAGAAAGGAAAAACATGTTTAATCAATACAGCCGTAAGGACAGTATAAAATAGTTCAAACAGGCAAGAAAGAGGTGACTTTGAGACAAAATAGAATATTTTTGTATTAATTAAATTTGTTAAGAATTTTGCTTTCACTCTTTCTTTCCCTGAACGTGTATAGTAAGTTTCTGAGGCCTGTGCTTACTTTTGGATGTTTTCAAATGGAACTGCAGGGCTTAGACCAGAAGTGTTCAAGTATAATTATTTACAGATGTAATTATTTACAGATGAATTTCTTGCCACAGAAATAATAATTAACTGACATGTTTTATTCTGGATGGAATAGATATTTGGGGGTTTCTGCTTGAACTACTTGTGTGCCTTACTATTTTCCTTCCTTCTTCCCACATAAACACTGGATTTAAGTAATTTTGCTCTAAAACTAGCTTCATGTCATTCACAATCTCAGTGATCCAAAGGAAGTCTAGGGAGAGTAGAGGTCTGCTGTCGGTGAGCCTCAGTAAGGCCCCCATGAGTCTGCAAGGGGAAGTTTTATAGTGAGAGATATAGAACTTTGGAAAGCTGAGGGTTCACCTTTACTTAAGAGTGGGGATGATGCCTTTTTTGGGGTTGTTGTTTTGGTTCTGTAGGCCTAGACTTTTTTCTTTTTTAACTTATTTAGCTGCTCCGGGTCTTAGTTGCTGTAGGCAGGTCTTTGATCTCTGTTCCAGCCTGCGGGATCTTTAGTTGTAGCATGTGGGATCTAGTTCCCTGACCAGGGATTGAACCCAGGCCCCCCTGCAGTTCAAGTGTGGAGTCTTGGCCACTGAACCACCAGGAAAGTC